ATTCCCGTAACATGAGGCTTCGACTGTACACACTAGAAAGCTCTACTGTATAAAGAGCCATTCAAGTTGGTAAGAACTCTGCAACTGGTTGAATAGGGATGTGGAAGACAGGTCATGACGCCACTCAGCGCTGATTAGAGCATTCCCAATTAGCTCCAAGAAGACGACAAAGTTTACTCCTGAATCGCCACTACTGGCATTGCTTGCTCAGCATTTCAAAGTTCACTTGTTGAGATGCTGCCGCCCTAAGGACCTAAGGAGATGAAATATTAGACAACCCATCTTCACACGTCAAGCCAGACGAACGCAACATTGCTGCCACAAATGTACAGTGACCACCTGGAAATAGGTGCATAGGAATTGCTGCGTTAACGGAGGTATAACCTATAGTGAAATCTTCCAACCTGTTTTTTTTTTGTATTCTTGTAGTGGGGTGAGATTGAGTCCATTTGGTACGTCCGCCACTAACTGGCCTATTGTACCAGCCCCGGATGGTACATGATTAGTGTAGCAGTCGGTGGAATGAGAATTGGCAGGGGAAACCGAAGTATTAAGAGAAAACTGTCACTGTGTCCATGATGAATCCTACATGAACTGACCTGGGCTCGAACCCGGGCCACAGAGGTGGGAAACACTACCCTGGTCTCCTAACCAAGTAATTGACTTGTTGGCTAGATGAATAACTAACGGATCTCATGATTAACTTTCTAACTGACTAGACAATCATGCATTTATCGGTTTGTCTGTCTGCGTATCTACCTGTCATGCAGCCTTACTTGATCAAATGGTACGTTCAAGAAACACATTTTGTGCTGTTGCAGGCCACGAAGTTCAAATTACTGCTATTAAAATGCCCCCCTCCCTACTGGACCCATTTCTGAGTCCCGCTAATCTGATCCAACCATCATAACCCGTTTCTCTAAGATGTAATATTTCAGCAGTGTCGTCCCACCTGGGTACAGCCATATATTTCCAAGAATTTTTCCTACACTAAAATGTAATTTCCGTACTATATCAGGAAGCTTCCTGGGGTTAAAGGGTTACCAGCGTGTAAGGCTGACAACCTAACCACCATCTCTGAGCCGATTTTCTAGAAAACGTGGGAGCCTCGACGTCTCACAACCATATGGGCCTCCACGTCCTGTTACAGGGATAGCTTTATTTCTTCTACTCTGAAATCGGCCAAGTGCCTGTCAGAGATGGCCCCAACAGTAACAACGAGGATGTGATAAGGTGCTGCCTGCTCAGGACTATCACACAACCTAAGGGATAGTGAGAGATAAGTATGCAGAATTGGTGGAGTGATAATTTGGCAAGGAAAACCCAAAGAAACTGTCAATTCGTAACCGCGAGTCTTACGCGAAGTCACCCTGAACTGAACACGAGGCTGCTGGGTGAGTAGCAGGGACCTAACCGTCGGGGCTGTGACAAGTTCCATGAGGTTCTTAAGACAGAAATTTTTATTAATTATAGTTGAACCCATACGTGCTATATGTGCCGCTCAACTTATTCTAATTGCTCTAATTACCTTGGAATTACTGAGCACAGTATAAATTTGCAAGTTGTTCGCTATGTAATGTTCTCCGTTTCCGTTTCTTGATTTATTGTGATCTCCTTCATATTCTCTTCATTCTTTCTCGTCATGCTTTTTCTTCTCTGTTTCTCCGAGATAGGATGCTGCTTTCATATTGTGACATGTAGAACCATTGCTAAGTTGTGACTCTCGACACAGCGGCCGTTGTTAGGTAATGGTTGCAACATACGCACACGTAACACTGGGGCACGCGGTAGCGTAGTGGTTGAGGAGCTATGCTACAAGCCGGAAGGTTGCGGGTTCAAGTCCCGATGAGATCATTGTTTTTTTTTTTTCAATTGACCTAATCCTTCCAGCCGGACTATGGTCCTGGAGTCGACTCAGCTTCTAACAGAAATGAGTACCAGGAATTAAATAAATAATTTTCCTGGGGAGTAAACCGCGGCCGGCGCGTAAGGCTGACAACCTCAACGTCTCACAACCCTATGGGCCTTCACGGGGATAGCTTTACTTTACTTCTTACTTTTATTTTGCATTCCACTATTTTATTTAACTGAGCACTGTGATTAGGAAATTTAAAAAAATCAGTTCGTAAAGATTGTCGAAGACTCTGTCCACCATCACGTACAGTAGATAGCAGAAGCTCCAGGATTCCACATTAATGTTAATTGGAAATGAGTCATATTGTACGAACTAATTCGTCCATGCGTCCATGTTTTAAAGATGTGGATGGAGGAAAGATTCTGAAGCTCTGTATAGAGACGTTTTGTTTATTTTGTCTTTTCATATTAGCAATTCAAAACGCGTAGATATTCAGATGAAATAATTAACAAGCTCCGTCCATTTATTTAAAATTCTGCATAAACTTTGCATACAAAATAAACTCAGATACAGTAATGAATATATATATAAAGTCCCCGGATACAGCAATAAGCAATGCTCTAGTTCAGTCAAGACACGGACAGTTCATGAACAAAACTAAATCATTTCTCTCCCGAGATTCGTTTCTGTTGAATTTTATTCATCTCCTGGCAAGGGGTCTGTCCAATAATACGGAGAGAATTGTCACGTCCTTTCAAACAGTCACTTCAGTTGAGTGGCGTTGTGTCGTCACATATGAGGGGTTTGCGTGACTAATAATAGCGGATTCTGGATTGGATGATTGGATTTATTGACCCTGCTATTACAAGTACAAATCAATTATAACAGCCCACAAGTAATGACTGTCTCAGACTCGCTCCATTCTTTACTGGACTATGAGCGTTTTCTCTTGCTCTGTGACGAATGACGAATTAAGAATCACTTCCGAACGAACTCGGGTTCCATAAAATTTGAGTTTCTTGAGTAGCTGCACAATTGCTGGGGTTGCAAGAAGGCCTCATCTCCATGTAGTTACGTTATTAATTAAGGGCATGTTCTTCTTAACCAAATAAAATGCTTATAATTACGTTTACGATATTTCTACTGCCTGGTCAGCGTTTTCCGTGTTCTAGCCAGCCATCCACATGAGAATATATTCTGTTTTCTAGTCAAATGTGTCAGTGCGCACGCGCTGACGTGTAGCCGCAGTGTGTCTGAGTAATGGCGGAGTGATTCACGTGCAATGTCGGCAGTTCCGCTCTACGTCATTACACAGAATAAAATGGGCACTGAAGAACTAAAGGGATATAAGTTTTATATTGAGGTGTATTTTACTCAAACAAGAACTGGGGAGGCAGAGAAACAGCCGTTGCTAAGTAGCGCACAATGTGTATCGCAACGCAATATGGGCTTTAATGCTTACATGCTAAGGTGGAACTTCAGAACATGGATTGAGTACACCGGGCCCTTCTAGCTGCTTTTGGCCAACTGGGGCGTGCTCAAACCACATGTGAGGACCACAGAGAATCCTAGAATTTAGCTGGAAATATTACAGTCATGGGAACCGTTTCATGCTCTGAATTCTCGGAAAGTTAATTTATTGTAGCGTATAGAACCGTTGTTAAGCGTTGGCCCTGTAAACAGCGGCCATTGCTAGGGAACACCCGCAAATTACACGCTCACAACAATAGAACAACGGGGTTATGAAACCCGTTTCTAGGCATCGGCACGGTAAACACGTACCTGCGGAAACGAGACGCACACAACAATAAAGTTACAATGGAAACGGGTGTTTTCTGTTGGGTCCGCTCCGAAGGTATACAGGATGTAAATAAATATATGTTACAACGCCCCCATGTGGAGGCGGGTTCGAATATCTCCACCCTGCAATTCGTAGGAGGCGACGAAAAGAGAAGTCTCAAATCTGAGAAAGTAAAATATGGTCATGAGTTCCGTGGGACTCGGACCCGAGAATGACTGCGCTGTGCGAGTGCCAGTAGCAATTGTAAACTGCAGACCAATCCTCTCATCAGAGAGGATGTTACATAAAGACTGTGACCTTAAAGGTTCAGTTGAAAACATTGATCGCCTGAGTCTCAAAGGGCTTGTCGCCAAGGCGAATTAATTGGCGTTAAACCGCCAGTCGTTAAGTAACTCTCAGGCAGTTGAGTCAAATGAAGTGAATTAGTTGGGTGGTGTCTCAGTTCAGATGAAAGTAAGCCTATGAAAAGAAGACTAGGAGATTGGTGTGAAATGGCTGACAGCTTGGGGCCCAGTTAGTTGAGGGTTGTCAGTTCAGAGGCAGTTCTCTACGAGAGGCTGCGAAGAAAAGAGTTAGTAGCAAGAGTTTGGCTGCGGAAAAGAAGAAAATGTGTGATATTTGGAGTGTGTATTTCAGCGAGACTGTTATACTGTAGTTCCTGTGTTAAATCCATTGGCAGGAAACGGCTAGAGAAGAATGTACTAGACTGAGAACACTAGTCTGTGTGTGTCAGTGATCTGTAAAGTGTAATTACGAATCGTGAGTTAACGTTGTCAATACATACAGTGTCCAATCCATACCCCGTCTACAGTCTCGCTACGAAATCGTGACAGTATATATATTCCAAAATACAAACCAGAAAATTAATTAATTAAAATTTTACACTATTAATTTCACAATAATACAATATTACGTACAGTGTGTGACTTTGGTTGATAGTTAATAATTCGTAACGTAAGTTAGATTTTAGAGTTCTTTATTGTATCTACAGGATAGAATTCCTCATACAACAGCCGATATTTCGCTGTTGCACTACTCCCGTCGCCAGGCGACTGTTTGCCATTATATTGACAGATCTAACACATTATTGCAACCAAGGCTGTAGTGGTCAGCCTACTAGCCCGGGATTAAACAGCGTTAGACAGTGCCTTGGGTTGTATTCGAACCTGAGACTTGCCGTGTCACTGCATGGCCAGGAAACTCCCTCCTACGTTCCACCGAGTCCCATGTACTATATTCTGTGACTTCTTGACGTCATCTCCACCTCCTCCTGATCCTTACTTCGCAACAGCTCACGTGATTCCCTGCAACCAATCCTGTTCATTTCCTTCTGCCAGAGACGGTTGAGCAGTGTAGCTGTTTTGAGTGTAGAAGCTGCAACAGGTGGGAACGTAAATTTTGTTTTGGAATTGGTGTTATTTTACTGCGTAATTTAGTTTGAAAACCAAATCTGGTTCAGGTCAAGTTCGGGTGCCCAATTAAGGCGTCCTCGTCATCAGCTGATGGCTAAGTGCAACAGGACGCTAAAATACAACATGAGTAAGAGGACGTCATGTGCTGCCGCAGCCTGCAACGAGGTATTTCATTTTCATATTTTATTTTTGCCCAGTTTGCCATGTTTAACTACGTCCACGTGTGTGTGTGTGTCATTGAGTTTGGAGGATTGTACTGATTCTGAACAGTTTTGTCTGTTTACCATCTCTGCCCTGTGCGAGTATGGAGTGCAGTCTACTTCACGAGTAGGAGAGTTCGCGGATTTCCATGTCAGGCTGTGTGTGTTTCTGTGTATGTGTTCATGGCGCGAATTCTGGCACAATCGGAGAGCAGTGTGGTCACCCTCATCAGGACGCCATATTTTGATCGTATTTTAGATTAATATTTGCCCGTAATTCTCCATCATTACGACCAATAACTGTAATCTATTTTGTGTTCATGTTATGTACGCAATGCTGGCATACTTGTCAAGTGTTGCTTACTGTTTTTTTTACTGCATTTACGACCGAGGCACACCAATTTTGATTTAAATCAGACAAGTTTAATAACGATATTACATGAAAATCCTTACTTACTTACTCATGAAGGTGAGCCCTTCTTGAGGAGAAGCCAAATATGCAGCTATTCAAGAATTTCCCAACACTTTATGGAACCCGAAGGTTCATTACCGTGTTCATAAGAGCCATCCACTGGTCCCTATCCTGAGCCAGATCAATCCAATCCATACCATCCCATCCTATATCACTAAGATCCAGTTTAATATTGTCCATTCACTGCTCCTTGGTCTTCCCAGTGGTCTCTTTCCTTCTGGCTTTCCCACCAATTTCCTATATGCATTCCTCTTCTCCCCATTCGTGCTACATGCCCTGCCAACCTAATCCTCCTTGACTTGATCATTCTAATTATACTTGGAGAAGAGTACATGTTATGAAGCTCCTCATTATGCAGCTTTCTCCAACCCCTTATCACTTCATCCCTCTTCGATCCAAATATTCTCAACAGCCTGCTCTCAAACACCCTCAGTCTATGTTCCTCCCTTAATGTCAGAGATCAAGTTTCACACCCATACAGAACCACGGGCAAAATTATAGTTTTGTATATTCTAATTTATTTGATGCCATATAGGCTGCACAAATACAGTGACGTTAAACACGCCACAAAGAAACACTGAAACCGTCTTTAGAGAGAAGTGTCACAGATGCAGAGGGAGTTCCTTTACGCGCCTATTGTCTTATTTCATCAACCGGTCAACTTTGGGCGCATACATCCTGTATGTTGGAGGTAAAAATGTAAAGCTGTCCCTGTAACAGACTGTGGAGGCCCCTAGTTTTGTGAGACGTTGAGGCTCCCACATTATCTACACAGTCGACCCACAGATGGCGATGAGATTGTCAGCCTTACGCTCCGGTCGCCCTTAACCCCAGGAAGATTCCTGGTACCCACTTCTGTTAGAGGCTGAGTCGATTCCAGGGCCGTACTGCTTCTGGAAGGACTTGAGGTAAAAGATAAGTGAAAGTATCCCTGTGCTTAACTAAGCACTATGCCATGAAGGCGTATAGGGGAGTGGATATATGGATCCATATTTTCTTGACCTCGGCACTAGTTGGAGGTTAATAGTCAGCTTCACGCCAGTGTCGCTTTACCCCCGGGGAAAGAGACCCCGTTACCCATTGGATAGGAGGCTGGGTGGGCCCCAGAGCCAGTCTGGACTACGTGGGGAAGAGAGAATTCTTGCCCCTACCGAGACTGGAACTCCGATCCCTTGGCAGTCCAACTCGTAGCCAGTCGCTATACCGACCGAGCTATCCCGGCTCATCGTCAAGTGAGGCGAAGGGGAATGTTTTTAATGTCCCGTTCAGAGACACCTGAAGAAATGACTCGTGAAGTGCTTTAAGTTATTGCTATGCTGTTTGACAGGTACTGTTTGACCGAAACACTAATACAGCCAGGAATATCTTCATAAGTGCAGGTCTCCAGAGCAGATTTGGACTTGGCAGTAACCTATTATGTAGATACACAGGAGAAAAATTATTTTGGATCATTTTATTGTAGTAAATGTCATATTCTTTTACCGGTCACGGTAGCCGGGCGGTCTGAGACATGTATACTGTCTTCGCTCGCTCGGAAGCCGGGATCGTGGGTTCGAATCCCACACAAGACATAGATGTTTGGTGTGTGTATGCGTTTATTCTGTGTTTGTGTGTTCCTTTGTTTAGGTAGAGAGGCCTTGCGACGAGCTGATCACCCGCCCAAGGAGTCCTACCCTCTGTAAAATGATCACGAAACTGAGAAATAAGCCAACCCTTTGCTCCAAAGTGGGAGCGCGAGGAGAGGCAAGGAATCATATTATTTTAACTGCAAAATAAAGAGCTTCATAACTTGTACTTTTCGCCAAATGTAGTTAGAATTATCAAGTCAAGGAGGGTGAGATGGGCAGGTCATGTTGCACGAATGTAGGAGGAGAGGAATGCGTATAGTATATTGGTGGAAATGCCAGAAGGAAAGAGCATTAGGGAGAACAAGACGTAGGTGTCTGGTCAATATTAAAATGGATTAAACGTCTATGTATCACAGTCCGTCAATAATACAACATTTTTTAAAATATTCACCATTTAACACTTAACACAACATGTTTCGGCCATAGATGGACATTTCCAGGTGTTTCAATGCGTCCAACTGTTACACTGTTTTCATGTGCGCTAAAATTGCGCGTTTTCAGTCCACTTAAAATAACATAAATAATTACTTAAAATCCATTAAATTTGTTTCTATTAAAATCTTTTGTAAAATTCTGTTCCACCTCATAAGGGGCGCCGTCCACTTGTTTAAAGCTGTGTGATATTCCAGACAGTTTGTTACTGCACCTTGTTTTCCTGTTTCTTCACTAGTGAAGACATCAGCACACGCTGCTAGAGGGAACAACACACAAGCAAGGGGCATATTACAGATTGGAGACGTAGCGAAACAACGGGCTAACAAACAGGAAAACAAGCTGCTGGAACAAACTGTCTGAAATATCACACAGCTTTAAACAAGTGGACGGCGCCCCTTATGAGGTGGAACAGAATTTTACAAAAGATTTTAATAGAAACAAATTTAATGGATTTTAAGTAATTATTTATGTTATTTTAAGTGGACTGCAACGCGCGATTTTAGCATGCGTCAAAGCAGTGTAGCGGTTTGGGCGCATTGAAACACCTGAAGATGGCCATATATGGTCGAAACATATGTTAAGTGTTAAATGGTGAATATTTTAAAAATTGTTGCATTATTGACGGCCTTAATACGTAGACGTTTAATTAAAGATGTGCAACAGAATGCTGAAATACCGAATAGTAAAACGGATCTAGAGTGATAGGACGGGGTGGTATGGAGTGGATCGATCTGGCTTAGGATATGAACCAGTGCAGGGCTCTTATGAAGACGGTAATGAACCTTCGGGTTCCACAAAATGGTGGGTGGTTCTTGAATCGCTGCACAATTGCCGGCTTCTCAAGAAGGGCTCAGCTCCATGAAGTTAGAATTTTATCATATCTTTTACAATGGCACAGATCTTCAACAGCTTAAAAAAAGAGGACTTTTTGTTTTAGACCTGCGTATTCATGAGATAATTTTAACAATTTCGAAACTTAATTTTTTATAAAATTTCTTCCTTTCCTCTTATCGAAAATTAAAGGAGGGATGTTTTCACTCGAATATGATTTGGGACCGCACTTTAGTCCGATGAACTTAGAACAAAAGGTCCACAAGCGTCTGGCGAGGCACGATTGATGATATGCGGTCAATTTCATGTGAGCTACCTTCAAACTGGTGCTATTCTGAGACCAGGCAAGCAATTCCCAATCCCAGAGAGGTCTTGTGCCTGTATATTCCGGGTGACCGGCAGTAATGGAGTTTTCTCCCACGAGATTCAACCACTACTAGCTCTGTGTTTCTGCTCCCACATGCAATGACCTGGCTTTTAATTTTAATTTCTTTCTCACAAAGGAAGGAAAGTTGGGTAGCATCCGCTTCAGAACAACATCAATAGCCCGCAATCTATCACCAAGGGAGGCCGCATTAAAGGGAGAACGCAGGGGCCGTACTGAAAACAGTTTGGAGGGCTTGGTGAGCCCTTCAGTTGTCAAGTGTTTGATATGTAACCTACACGTCTTTGTTTGATGCATCAGCTTGACCGTTTTCGTTTGGATTTGAAGTGCGTATTTGGTATGAATGAAGTGAAAGTTAACTACTTGATACAGACTCAGAAACGCTTTCGTAGGTTCCTTGGATCAAACACAAGGGAAACTGTATGTACTGTAAATCTTTATCTACTTTACAAAATCTGTTTTACATCATAAAGATGTCGAAAGTCTTGAACTGCTTTACAACGGATCAAACTCATAGCAAAATTGTGTAGATCGAAAACATTCATCCAATTTAAAGACGTCTGTTTCTAGCGTTATATCATAAAAATTTCAGAAGACATGAGTTCTTTTAGAGTGATACGACACATCAGTTCCCAAAAAACTGTACAGATCAAAAGTATTCCTCTGCTTTGAAGATATTTTTTGAAGCCTTATATCCATAAGGATCTCAGAAGGCATGAATTCTTGTAGGGCGACGCAGTAGCTCCAATGATTTCAGAAATTACATTTCTATCATGTCTGTAAGAATGAAGAACTTCCGGAAAGAAGTCATATCGTCTACTTTTAAGTTGTATGAACTGCACAGAGTGTAAACGGATAATTAGCGCCTAAAATTGGATTTGTAGAGCATTGTATTAGCCATATCCGGTGCAAACAGGCTTTTTCGAACTTCTCATTTTCTACCTACTTTTTTGCCTGCTTCCTAAAGTACGTTTAAGAGATCTCTACGTTGTGTGTGTCTGTGAATCCCCCCTGTTAATCTTGAATGCCTGAAAGAATCGTTTTGAAAGTTGATATCTGAACCCGTCTCAGCGGCGTACTTCATAAATCCCTACCTTCGGTCTGTGTTTCTGTAAGTGTGTCCCTCCTATTGTTGCTAGGCAAAGGCTCAGTAAATTGTGTCCCCCCCCCTTTGTTAATGGCTTGCTAAACACGTTCCTGCGGCTTCGAATACA